GAGTCTGCCCATCTGGTAAGATACAGAAAGTACCACTAGAGGTGAATATGTGTAGGTCAGGGATGAACTGTGGAGTCCTTGGGGTTCTCTGAGCTTGGTTCTTTTCTTGCAAACGTTTCATTGCCCGGCTAGGTGACATCTTCAGTGCTAGAATGGAGTGGGGTTTGCTCTCTATTTATGTGCTGTGGTCTGCCTTGCCAGTGCTGGTGGGGGTGGGGGGTTTGTTTTGCTCCTCTGGTAGTTCTTTAATTGGCATGTGTTTGCTGCTTGATTGTGTGCCTGGTGGTAACCTTTGGTTATCTGGGTGGTGATTGCTGGGGATGATTGCTGGTGACCCCACAATTGAACCCTGAGCTACACATATTCACCTCAAAAAAAGAATACTGTAGATACTTTTGGGATCAACAAGCAGAAATTCACCAATATTGGTCATGTGTTGCCAGCAGATCTCTAGAAAAAATTATTATGCATGGCAAAGTAGATGGAATCAGGAGAACAACAGATAGGATGTCAAGGAGATCATTGGAATGTCTTTGGAGGAACTATGAATTGGACCTAGAGACAGGTTAGGATGGTGAGCATTTGTCCATAAAGTTATCACACCAAAAGTCAAGCCTGACCCGATGGCAATATGCGTACAGTGATGGTTTGTCTAACACAGCACCTGTTCTTTTGAAACAGTTTATTTTACATTCAGATTCCACAGACTAAAGATATTTGGCTTTCAGCAGTTAGTTAATACCCAAAGTCTCAGTATGTACTAGAGAGCCAGTTTGGTCCAGTGGTGAAGGCACCAGGCTGGAAACCAGGAGACGGTGAGTTCTAGTCCTGCCTTAGGCAGGAAAGGTGGCCGGGTGGCTTTGGGCCAGTCCCTCTCTCTCAGCCCAACTCACCTCACAGAGTTGTTGTTGTGGGGAAAACAGGAGGAGGAAGGAGTACTAGGTATGTTCACTGCCTAGAGTTATTTACAAAAATAATAAAGGTGGGATTAAAAAAAAAATCTGAAAAAATAAATAAATGCATCAGCACTTGGCCCACCTTGTTTGGGCTTGGAAACTAGCAACAAAGTGGGGGTGGGACCATGAGAGAATTCCAGGGCTACAGAAATGGTCGACACTTCAGCGGCTCGAGCCCAGCCTTCCCGCAGCAGAGTGAGCTCCTGCTTCCTCCCCCAGCTCTTGTCAACCCAACAGTTCAAAAACTTACGTGAGTAGATAAATGGGTACTCTCACTCTGGTGGGAGGAAGAATGCTGGCGGCACCTTGCAAAAGGAGCCGGGAGCAGTTGCCGGTAAGCGCGAAAAGGGCGCGAAGCAACGGAAACCCCGCCTCCTGCGCTCGCCAGGTGGGCTCTGCTCTAGGAAGAAGGCCATGGCAAACCACTTCCGAACCACCTTGCCTTGAAAACTGCAAAGGACTTGTCCAAAAGCAGTCACTGCAGAGTCGGTAACGACTGAGTGCAGATAAAAAAAAATAAGGCTAGACTGGGATGTTGAAAAACATCATAGAAGGAAGTGATAACAAACTGCTCATGTATTGCTGCTAAAACTGTATGAATATGTTAATATAGGCACTGGGAGGTAAGCTTGACTTAAAGGAAATGTTAACTTTTTCAAAAGAAGCCTCATATTTTATTTCTAATGCTGAAATTACACCTGGATTTGCTGCTTGCTCTTCTTAATATTATGCATATTAAGACACGTATATGCACATAGGTCATGTAAAGACAACCCCAGAAGGGGCACTTGGTTTTTCATTCTCATGTTGGACTGTGTGCATGAATAGGCATGAACAAAAGATTACCTCCATTCCACACTGATTCTGAACTGAGGAAAAGGTCTATGAAGCAAACATCAGACTTCTTGCAGATAATATCTCAAGCATTGTCCTCTAGGGATAATTCTTTGATACAATCATTTCCTTTGCCCTGGGAAGCATTAAAGGGGGGAAGGAAGAAAAATTGAGAGCAATGGGTCCTTTAACAGGACCTTTCCTTTTATAATGATTAAGAGGATCTGGCAACTGACTAGCTCAGCTCAGTTTCTGCTCCAGAGGAAGTGGTCCAAAGACAGTTTTGCACATTTCCTCTGGAGATATATGGTGGTGGTATTCCACTGGGAGGCAGTCTTGCCTCATCCTGTCTCCTTGCTGCTTAGAGTTCCCACCTGAAGCCAAGGAGCTGTGGCATCTCCCCCCACCCCCTTTCCTATTGCTCTGAGGAGTAGTTTTACTGTTCTCCTGCACTATGATTAGTTGCCCCCCTCCCACTGCAAAAAGGACATGTGAGGGAAGAGTAAAAACAGAGACAGAGGGCCAGCTGACTAACGTTTCCTATGCCCTCCCATTGGCCAACATTGCAGGGTTGTTGTTTTTTTGAGTTTTTAAATAGTAAGACTAGATTGCAGATCCACAAACAACGAAAACGGAAAAGCAGCAGCAATGTCTTAAAGTCATAGCTGTAAACATCCAACATTTTTATAGGAAACATCTTTCTCTCCATGGAACTGAAGTATTATTCACCACATCACTGCAATTCTTCCCCAACCTGCAAGTTGCAGTGAAATAGTAAAAATCACAGTAATCACACGGAGGCCTTGCTCACAAAAATACCATTGACTGTGTTGAACAGCCTCTTCATATTTTGCAGCAGCCACCTACAAACCCCCTATAATTTGGGCTTCAGTGGCTGCTGGACTCGGGGGAAAAGATTCTGTAGTCAGAGTCAGTGGACAACGTACCTTGGCTGAAAGAAAAGTCCTCTGAAATAATTATTAGCATCTATGAGCATGTCCCACTACTAAGTAAAATTGTAACACTGACAAGAATGAGCAGGACGCAGCCAGTAAGAATTTTAGCTCAGCCAGATAATATTTTGACAACCCAACAGGAATTTGGAAATGTCACGTAGTCAGCGTAACATAACTTTACTTGCCTTTCTTAACCAGATATGCTTTATATGGGTGGATTTCCACTCCCTAAATTCTCTGCAATGGCCGTGCTGCTAAAGAATTCTGGGAATTGAAGTCCACAGATCTGAAGAGGGTCCCCAGGTTAGGAAAGCTAATCTGCTCATTCTCAGAGCCTGTTGACTGCAACATGCTATGTTCATACATGCAAGGATTGGTCATTGCAGCGAGCTTTATAGGAGATTTATGTTGCATTGCTGCCCGGAAAAATGCATGGCCATATCCCTGAACTGAAAATACCTCTTCACTTCATGGGTTAACTTACACCCACTTATCACACGGGGAAGACCTCTGACCTAGTTTCTTTTCCATCTGTTTTAGATCACAAACATGCTCAGAGTAATCAAGTCACTGAGGTTTCCCTTCCAGAAGTCAAAGCAAAGGCTACTTTCTCTCTTCCTCCTGACATCAGCAACTTTCCCTTCTCCACCTTCGTGAGAACTCACTTCCAGGTAAGACTATGGAGTCAGAATATGACTTCCCCAGAATATGACCAGAACTATTTCTTTGCCCCCTTTTCCTGCTTCTTGTCCAACATCTAAAGATCAATTAGTTGGACGGAGAAGGTGTGTCCTGTGAGCAAGGTGAGCCATAGCATTTTCCCCTTCATCTTACCTCCCAGCCTACTGGGCATCTAAACTCCTTCCCTTTCCCTTGGCTGTGGCTGCCATTACACATATTTAAAAGGTCCTTTCGTCCACGCGTGCCACCTGTCAACAAATGCTAGCGCTAAAATGGACGTACGTGACAATTTCTTTTGTGACCTAAATGCCGGTAGTGCCACACTCCCTCCACATGTCTGTCTTTTGTCCTTCGTAGGATGTGAGTTTCCCTGCCCTTGGGCAGCCCCTGCAAGAGCCTTTGACCCAACTCCGCCCTGAGCACAGACAAAATGCTCTACAGCTCAACAAGCTGGTAAGAAGAAATGAATAAGCAGCTCAACCAGCAGGCCCAGCTAGAAATAGGCAATGTTTTATTTTTCAGAAATTTAAAGGGGTCTTGAGAGGTGTATTATTGTTCATGGTGGGGTGTCATTCTCATTTTGGCTAGTGCTAAAAAAAAAAAAAAAGCCCTAGCAGCACTTAACGTTTCCCATCAGCTGTCATATTTCCCTTTTACTTGTGTGTTCTTCCTAATCAGAAAGTTTAAATTGTGTTCACATGACATAGCCACATGGTTTACACAATTAACCCTCTTTTGTTTTTGGTTTGCACAACACAAACTGAACCGAAACTGTTGGTTCATTTGTGGTCCAGGGCATCATGAAAACCCAACCAGTTGCAACTCCAACTCCAGTGTTTTGTGCAAACATAGCCTATGACCTTTGCCATAGCAAGAAAGAAACCTGAGTTACGGCTGCTTTCATGTTTTCAAAATGAGAAATTAGCCTTTTGTCTTATTTTCTGTTTTGGCTTATGATGATAGGTGTAATCTAACACAACATCTGTTGGGGGACGTTCATTCAGTCTGCAATCTTTACTTTCAAACAAAATGCAAACTGCAAATCTCATAGCAGAGACATCTGGCCTCATTTCTTTCCCAGCCCCATGCCTTTCACCTGATGGCATTTGGCTATTCCCTTTAAATGTATTACCCAAACTAGGGATTTAACTTTTTGTTTTCATGGACCAGTATGTTTATCCTAGCTTTTTAAAGTTCTGTAATGTATGACAAATAGGACTCTATACCACCAACTCCAATTTTTTAAAATGACATCTTTCAGAAGTAAATGTGTTACTTAACCCTCCACTTGAATATATGGGACTCCATGTTTATGGTTTACACCAAAGGAGAAAGCTCCGCCCCTTTTCCAGCACTTCCTTTCAAGCTCTGTAACAACCATGCGACTGTGTTAGCCCATCTGTCTGGCCCATGGGAAAAACGACTTCCCTGGTTTGACCAAAGGAGGAAATCAAATCCAGTTTAAATCCAGTACAAGTTTTAAATAATCCAACAAAAAAGCCAGAAATGTTTAGTTTTATTTTTTAAAAATAAATGAAAACACAGATTTAGCAAGCTAAACTTATGAAGGCTCTTGAGGATCCTTTACCAGTTCAGGTTAGAGGGGACTTCCAGGAACTTCACAGCTTTCTCAGGCTTTTACTCCTACTGTTAATTTATAATTAATTAATT